AGAACGAGCAGAGGGGGCTTGGAGTCCAATATATGAATTTGAGTCTTGCTGCTTAACCAGCTCTGTTGTGTCTTTGAACATTTATCTACTTTTTCTATGCTTCAGTTTTCTTTTTTTTTTAATTGAAGTATTATTGATTTACAGTGTTGTTTTATTTTCTGGTGTACAGCATAGTGATTCAATTATACATTTACATATATTCTTTTTCATTATAGGCTATTACAAGATATTGAATATAGATCCCTATGCTATACAGTAGGACCTGCTGTTTATTTTATATATAGGAATGTGTATATGTGCCTCCGTTTTCTGACTCAGGAAATGGAGATGACAGTACCTACTTCTAAGAGTTTGCATTAAGAAGTAAGATTATAAGTATGCAGCGCTTACATAGTACAATGCCTGGCACTTAAATGCTGAATAAGTGATTATTACTAGATTATCAATTTGTACTACTGAATTTATTCATTTGTTCAATTAAACCCATTTTCTGAGGTGGAGAAATACTTATTTTACTTAAATCTTCCCTTTATTTTTTGGTTAAAAAAAAAGATAACTCTCATAGGGCTGCTTGGTCTAATAGGACATAAGCTATAAGGATTAAGACAATTTTCTCTTGATGGATCTCTCATTCTAACTTGTCTAACTTGATTTTTTTTCCTCTTTACTTTTGTTGTAACAACCTTATCAGTTCACATGGAGGCAGTGGAGCCAACCACACCAGCATCACAGGCCCCCAAGTCTCCAGACTCTGAGTGGTTGGTTAGGACCTCTGCTGCAGAGAAAGCCGCAGACTCAGCTGCAGCTACGTTTTTTAAAATGCCACAAGAAAAGAGCCCTGGATACAGCTAGAAAGCAGGACTTCACCCACCAAGAGCCAGCTGGATGTTTGAAACAAAGATTAGACTTTGTATCATATTATCTTGCATATCTTAATTGACATTCCCAACCCTTTCACCACCAGGACTGACTCCTCTTCAAACAAAGAACTCTCTTAGAAAATCATGTTGTGGAAATCTTTTTTTTTTTAATTGTAAAATATTGGGGCAGCAATTTTTGTTTTTAAAAAGCTCATCCTGTGCTATATTTTTTACATTGCTATTGCTGTCCCAACAGTTACCTACAGCTCTGTTTACAGAGCTGTTACTTTTTTGCAGGTATGTCTTTTTTCTTGAAAAACTAGTAACTGCTTTTGCAAGGTTTTTGGGTAGAGCTTTTAATACTATTTGAGGAAGTTCCAGATTTGCAGTCAGTTCCAGATAGATTTGAACACAGGGTTAAGACCTGTGTATGGAATTGTTTGCAGGAGATAAGGCTTGCCTTTGAGCCTGGTCTTGATTCAGGCAGAGTGCCAATAAGAAAAATCTAGCAAGTTCTCGAATTGGAGCCTCAGAAGAGACACCAGCAACGTGGGCCTTGGGAACTTACTCCATTTTTGTAGACAGCCTAATGGGATCGCCAGCAGCTGTGTTGGACTTTGCCTCATCTCCAAAGTTCATGTTCTGCCAAAAGAGGATCTGTATGTATCTACACAGATTGGTGTAAAGAAGAAGATGGGTTAGGTGTTCAGCAACTTTAAAATAGTCAGTGGATTGTATCTTAATGCTTCATGTCGCAGTGTAGTAAGCCTGTATGTACTAAACGAGACTTTTATTGTTAGTATTATAGGTCAATAACCTGCAGCAGAAATTCATACTCTATTATAATAACGGCTTCTCGGGGCCATACCTTGGAGAGGAAAAATGCCTTTTTGTCATGCCTTTCTACTTGGCGTGTTTATGAGGGCTCAGCTGCACGTAGAGTTATATACACAGCCGTGCCTGAAGTTGGATGCCCCTTTGTCAGAATGAGGAATAAGTGACTGCCTCAAGCTGCTGGAGAAAAGCCACCCTTTCTAAAAAAGCATTATCAAGAGTGTCATTCAGGGGCCTGGTTGACAGAAGGGCTCTTTCTTTGGGCAAATTGAGTGCTTTTACTCTGAAATACACTGAAGCTGTTCTCCAGCGCCTGCTGCCCAGGTGACGTTCTTGAGGAACTCCCACTCCTGCGCCTGCTTGTTTCCTGTGCTTGAGCCGGTGCTGAGCAGGACACAGCCTCCTCTCCCTGCGCGCGGTTGTCCATTTTTCTCACACAGATTGCAATGGTGAGCTGCTCTGTTGTGTTCCTTTAGAGATCGTTGTCCTTATCAGTGGTAGCTCCAGAATGTCCTTATCGGTGGGGTGAGTGTGAATCTAGTGGGGAGGAGGGACTTGAAACTAAGCTTACATAGCACTTTATGCAAGGCTGAGAGCATGGAGGGGGGGGCAGGCGGAGCTGCCGGAGCGAGGAGGAGCACTAAACCCAGTGCAGCATCCCCGGGGCCACCGGGTTCCCCTGCATAGCGGGTGCACCTCCCTCCCTGTGGCTGTGCCCACAGTACAGAAAACAGTGTCTGTTGAGTGTAAGTGGCTCTACTCAATTGTTTTAGTGATGAGGGTAGGTTTTTGTTGTCATATGTACATTTTTACCTAGTCCCCATAGTGTCCTAAGGCACGTATTTCTAACATAACTTGTTGGATTTAAGGGAGAAATCCATGGACATAATTTTATTTTCTTTGCACTGAGCTCCAGTGGCTCATGCAGAGATGGGTCCTGTGATCGTGGCCTATTGAAGACCCTGCAGTCCGGGCAGCATCTCTTCTTCATAACATGTGGCCTAATAGTTCTTCCTACATGTGATTAAAAGTAATTTATACATACAACTTTATTTATTTTAAACATCTCTGTGATGACAGAGTTTAGTGACTTGCCCCAAATCATATAATCAAGCTAAGGCTTAAAATCCCAGACTTTCAGACTTTTCCTGCCCTAGGTTATAATCTTTTTTGTTGTTGTTGTTTACAACCTGAGTCACTCTGAGACCCATATTTTTGAAACGGTATGCCATGAATGTTTATCATTTTTGAGGTATGCTCTCCTACTATTTTGAATACTTTCAACAGGGAGCACCCAAAAATGCCGTATGTACCTGTAATAAGTAGGAAAGGAAGTTAATTGCCTAAGAGACTAGCCATTAAGCACACAAATACTTTTCCAACACAGGGTTGTAAATGGCGCTGCTTATTTTAAGCTGCTGCATGAGCATGCTTACAAAATTATTAACTGACTTATTCTGCTTGTTTTTTTGTATGAGTCCATTCCAGAGAAATAACCTTAGAATCAAGCATCTTTTGAATCTTAAATTTTAAATTTCCTTTTTATATGACAAAGTATATAATGTCATAAATCAAGAAAAATCTGTTACCTTTCAACAAAAGATAATTTCACAATCAGATTTTGTAATGTGTTAAAAAAAAAAAACTGTGATGGCTTGACTTCCTTTGAGGATGATCATTGAACTCACATGTGTTTGATCTGCTCAAAAGTAGTAACTGAAGCAGAGTTCCACAGTTCTTATTTCAGGGTTCTGATTTTTCCCGGCTGGCTGCACAGTCTGCCTGTCTGAATCCTAATCTTGGGTATTTTCCACAGTGGGCAAAGGCAAGACATTATCTACTTGCATGAGCATTATTCCTAAAGGATAGTTTTGCTTATGAGTTTAAGGGAATTTGAGATTATTTTTCAGATGCAGTATTTTAAAGGGAAAAACTTATTTTCATCAAAACTCTTGTGTTGCTTTTTGGTAAGGACTGTTCAGAAGAAGTTAGTGGCTGTTTAATGGTGCTAAATTTGGGAAGGGCAGGGTATGATCTTTATTGAGTGGTCTGTTCTTGATAAATAGGCCTCATTTAGCACTGAATTCTTTAGAAATCAAATGCAGTTGAAAATTTCAGTAGGTGTTCTGTGCGGTTCAGTGGGTTTGTAAATGTAATTCTTGGTGTATTTGTGGGAGACGGCGAGCTGTGAGTCTCTACTCCACCATCTTGGTACCTCCCCCCTGAAAATTTCAGATGACTTGGTTTTGTTGGGCTATAGAAACAGGCTGCAAATAAGGCCATTTTGGCAACAAAATGACCAAAAGCTGAAATAAAACTTCTTAACCTGTGATACTTATTGCATCCTTTGCTAAGAGCAGCACCTAGGACAGGTAGTTAAACCGTTTCTGAATCCAAACAGATGAATGTGATACATCCTTGCATTTGAAATCAGAAATGCAATCTAGACCATAGCATAGCAAGTTCTGATGCTGCAAAATACAGGGGCAGAGTGACCACAGATGTCATTTAGAGTTGAACAAGTCACAGAATGTCACAAGTAAGGAGTTAGGCTGGCGTTGTCATTGCTGATGTGATGGGGTCTCCACTTTGGCTCCAGGCAGAGACTCCTGGTGATGCATGATTCATTTTCAGTCTGTGCTTTATTTTGACTTCATTACCATGGTTCTGAGCACAAGCTTTTTAAAAGTTTCCTGGGGAGAAGGCTATGTACAGATCTCAGCATTAGAAGCTGTATTCAGCATTCTGTATGTTTGGTGAACCTTATCTGAGCGGGAATGAGAACAGAGTGGCTTTCTCTAGCAGCTGTGGATACAGTCTAGTTGGGGGCATAGCTTACAGGATGTCTCATGGGTTCATGGAATGGCAGAAGAGGAAGAAGCAGTTTGATCTTGCTGTCACCTGCTCCCTTTGTTAATTTTTAAGCTGCGCATTTTACTTGTCAGTATTTCCTTATCTCCCACTCCAGTCATAGTCATGACAGTTAGTGGAGTTACTGATAGTGACAGCGATCAAGTTGGGTTCCTACCCGATTAGAAACCTGGTACAGAGGGAAAAGATGAGGAAATTGGTGGGTTCTGCTGTTAGCACAAAACAGATGAACATCAAATGCCTGGGAATAGCAACATCAAAAAGAAACAAGGAAATTTGAGTGATCTTGCTGCAGACTCTGGATTATAAGGTTTTTAACAAGCCCAGCAAAACAAACTTATGGCCAAAAGAAGAAACTTTCTTGATACTGCACTGAACTTGGTAAAATTGCCAAATGTGGGGAATAAAAATTTTTTCAAGCATGATATTGAAGAGTGGGGCAGATCCTGAAGATGGTCACCAGGGAAAGCAATCTTGGCAAGGTCCAGAGTGGGATGGCAAAGGGAGGAGAGGGAGAGATGCTTAGAGCAAGGGTGCTGAGGCCCTTAGGCCAACAGCATCAACACATTCTCTCTTCCACCAGATCTGCTGAATCAGAAACTGAGGGCAAGGCCCGGCAATCTTTTACAGGCCCTCCAAGGGATTCCGGTACACGCTGATGCTTGAGAACCGCAAGCTTTGCCACAGTTGAAAAGAAATGTTTTAATATACTGGTATCCCCCCGAGGCTCTGAGGTGCTTTTATATTTTCCTCCTTAAGTATAGAGGTGTTTTTGTACAGTTCTTTGCAGAAACTGTTAAATGTCTTTATTTCCTATACTTTTCCCCTCAAGCTCCTGAAAGATCTGGAAACACTGAGAAAGGATGATGTGGAGAAAATGCCATTGAGGCCATTTTTAGATGGATGGAAACAACCTTTTAAAAGTGGATTAAAGTATAACAATGGAGTTTTAGTCTGTGAATGATAGTCATGTTTTACAGTTGACAGTAAAACATTAGTGTAAGATACTGCCATCCATGATTTTATGATACTTATTCATTACATCTTAGTTTCATGTGAAAATGTCATATATTTTCCAGTATCATCATGATGACGACTTTAAGGTGTAGCTCACAAAAATGAAACAAATAATTGGAAAGAAAAACCACCCTGAGTACATAGCTATTGTGTAATAAACACCTGTTGAGTTATTGGTAATCTTTTGCTGGGAATTAATCTCAATACTTCAGAGCATGTAAAAATCGATTTTCAGTGATGCCACTTAATCACACCCCATTGTCTTTGTTTTACATTTCAGCTAGTGATGCTACAGGGGTTGGGGACCAGTAGTAGCAGCATGTTGTATTTTTTTGTTGTCTGACTTACAGATTTGGTGTTTCAGAATATAATCATCTTAAAGCTTTGAAATTAAGTCATGGCCATTTCTTTAGATGTTATTTGGCTACTTTATTACTAAAGCCTACAACCCGAAACTGTCTTTCTGGGAGTATGTGTGGCTGTGGAGGAGTGCGCTAGTATCACTTCCTCAGGTGCTCATGTTTTGTGCCTGGATCTTTATTTATAAAAGGGACTGGGTGATGACACAGAGAGGTCAGTGCTATTGAAAGTCACATGTTACTCACAGTTCCCCTAAAAACATGCGGCATGGCTTGACATGCGGGGTCACAGGACAAACACCAGGTTTACGTCAGCAGGCAGAAGACCCGAAGCAAGTGATAGGTTTAGGCCAGAGCCTTGATTGGAGTTTTCCCCAGAAAAGCTAAGCAGGGCAGGGAGAACAGTTCAGGAGTGGCTAGTGAATAATTCCACGGCCTTTGGGCTACATTGTGGGCTCCAATTGCCTGGTGCTTGGCTCTGGGATCATTGCTTCCTGGGGTGTGCAGGCCAGATGTAGGAGGAATGGCTCCATCAGACCTGGTTATTCTGCAATGTCAAGAACACGAACGTGCTGCGGGCTGAGTCCTTCGCCATCTCTAAGAACTGGCCAGCCCTGGGAGGGGCGGTCTCTCTCCAGCCAGAAAGGTTTTTTTAAGATGTCAAAAAACATGATTAATACACATGTATAGGGTGTTTAACTCTTCTTTCAATTCTTGTAGTCTTTTAAAACACCATATAATTTTTCCCTTCCATCTTGAAAACCAGTTAAAAGTACGTCTGGCCAAAATGTTAGTGTTACTAGATATTATCAAGGTGTGAGGACATAAAAGTACTTTAAAGATGTAAATTATGAAAATTAATGGGTTTTTTTTACCTAAAAGTGAGTTCTGACCCTTGCAGATCCCTCATTCAAATATTTTTCATTGAAAAAAGGAAAGAAAATGTCAAGGAACTTACAAACGGCCTTGGTGACTTTGACTGAAATCACCCTGTTTGACTATGTATAGATTCTTCATCTTGCTCCTCCCATTGGGCCATGTATTTCTCCATGAAACATCTGCCACCCCAAAATCATGGTGACAATTTGAATTGCTCTAAATATCTCATTCAACCTCCCACCTGCTGTCAGCAGCTCTTGCAAACTGGCCACTTTAAACCCTTTCAGCCCCCACCTTTCAACCCTGGCAGCTCTCACCCTCCCCTAACAGACAATAGAGCATTAGGCGGGAAACCCCAGTCAGTCACCTTCACGTACACCCTTCCTCACCTCTTCTTTGTCTTTGTCTTGCCTGTCCTGCCCCTAATGAATCCCTTCTCCTATACTCTCCCTTCATCGAATGCCTTGCTCAGTACAGCTTCTCCTGACACATACGGCTTTGCGTTTAAACACGTTCAGAGTCTCCCCCTTCAAACAAAAATACCCTTCCTCAACCCCTTGAACCCCTTGACTAGCACTGAAGTACTGTCCTCTCCTACACTTTCTGTCCGTTGTTAATTCCACTGAAGCAGTAGTTTTTATGGCTGCACCCTGTGATCATCTCGGAAGATTTTTTTAGAATCCTGATTCTCCCAGCTGAACCACAGACCAGTCACACCAGAATGTGGTGGAACAGCCTTTTTAAAGCAAGGACATGCAGCCACTGTGCAGCCGGGGCTGGGAGCCAACATGCTAAAATCTGGTCGTACCCTTGCCGCCATGAGAGTTGTTCTTGCTGGGTCCCGCCCTTGACTTTAGCTGCCAACATTTAGTCCTTAGGTTGATCTTTATGTCTTGATAGCATATCACCTCATTCTTTTCTGGAATTCTACCTTTTCTGACCCTGCCCACCTGACTTTCCTTGTACTTACTTGCTCTTTTTTAGCCTCCACAGGTGGGCAGGTTGGTCTGGAGGTCAGTCCAACATAGACTGACTCTGCTCTCACCTCCAGTACTTCAGTTAACACCTATGTGCTGATGAATTCCTTTTGCCACACCATCATAACACACTGGCCTAAAGCACAGACCTGGAGCGAAGCACTTACCTGCAGTAATAATGACTGTAAGGCCTCCTCAAGGTGTCTGTTCTCACTTTTTGTTCCTCCTTCAAGCCCACTGAAGTAGGAAGTGGGAAGAATTGCTGACCATGTTAGTCAGATTCTAAGATGGATCACCCTTATTTACTAGTGGGTGGAGTTGCTGATCATGAAAAGTCAGGCTGCAGTGTGGTCCCCCTTCTGCTTTCTCCTTTCCAGGTTGTTGGACTGGCGAGGAGGCCTGGGCCCGCTTCTCCCTAGGAGGAAGCTACTCCCATTTACTGCTCGCTTCAGTTTTTTTTTAATTTGCTGCAGTTGGTAAAGATTTTAGTTTGGGTTTAGGGGATGAGACAGACCCATTCCTTCACCACTTTTGACCTTGGGTACCATGTTGGAGCTTACTTTATCAGACAAGTTTTTATTAGAGTCTCAGGCACTATTCCTACTGCTGATAAAGTGGGACTTGATTTCCCACTTCACTACCATCACTGCATGCTGCCTCTGGAGCTGTGTGTAGGTGTTCCACCCTCACCAGAAGGGACGCTGTTCCTGGCTTCTGGACACCACTAGTTTCTGATTCAAAATCTGGGGTGGGTGGATCAAATTAGTAGACAGGTGCCTATGTCCTACCTCCAGGAATGTTCAGCTTCCACTGGGAATGGATGAATTCTTCAAGCGTAGGAGGGCAGTTTAGATGCTGAACAGCCGACAGGGATAGCAAAGGTCCATTAGAGCCATCGCCCTATTCACTGATTCAACAGGCATGTACTTGGCACTCACTAATCAGGCTTCCTCAGGGATCTCTTGGGGAAGAGGGTGGCTGCTCCAAAGCAGAATATTCCTGGGTTCCTTAGATATACTCTGCTTGAACCAGTAGATAGTAGAACCCTATCCAGAGCCCATCATCCTACTACCATTACTACTACTACTACTACTACTACTACTACTACTACTACTACTACTAATGATATTAATAAAATAAATTTTATTAAAAGTAATATTTGCTGAGTATTATATGCCATTTGTAAATAGCACCTCAATTTTCAACAACTCTGAGATAAGTGCTTTTATCTCTATTTTAAAGCAACGAAATACTCTTAAAGCTAGAAATTAATTTACTCAAAGTCACAGCTAGTGTCAACCAGGACTCAAATTTTAAGTCTGTTTGATGCTAGAGTTTCCATTGCCAACTGATACCCTATGCTACCCCTTTTCATAATATTGGTGAACTGTTGGTGGGCATGTATATCTGAAATAAACTACGTGCCCCCCAGCCCAGAATCGGGTGTCTGGTGAGACCCTTTTGCTTCATCTACCTGTTACTCCTGGTGAGCTGACTCCCTGTCAGAGCAGCTGGGAATGGGCTGGTCTCTTCTCTGTGCCTACATATTGAAAGAAGATGGTCAGTTTCTGTGACATTCTCTTAAAAACAGCCTACTTTTGTTTTTGAAAGTGACTAGAGCAAAACTCAATATAATCTTCCAAACCTATGGTAATAAAAGATGTTGCCCTTTGTGTGCCAAAGCAAAACTGGTCCCTAAACTAGGAAGACATGACTTTGAGTTGTTAGTTGCTGGTAAAACTATTCTGACTACTTGGTAAACATCTCACAGAACTGCTAGCAAAATAGCTGTCTTAATTAACAGTCTTGGCCTTTATAAACATCCTTCCAAATCAGTAGATGTGTATAGAACACGTTTTAGGCCAACCATTCTGCTAGGAGCTGAGTATGCAAAGAGGAAAGGCATTTCTAGTGTTACAAAGTTCATGGTCTTCTGAAGAAGAGATAAGGAAAGCAAATATTACAATGTAGAATGATACATTTTGAGACAAGAATATCAGGGTTTTGGGCAGCAAGGAGGAAGTCACTCTTAACTTGAAATGAACACAGGGAGGATTCGAAAAATACCACACAAAGTCTTGAAGGATGAACAGGAGCTCAGTGAAGAAGAAAGGATGAGGCCATTCAAGGGTAAAGAGCATGGTCTGCTCAGGCCGCTGCAGCTATTTTGGCATCGCTGATGTATAAAGCACGTGGAGGAGCAAGGAGAGGTAGTCAGGAGACAGAAAGTGAGGGGCCCTGTGTGCACTGGCTTACCCGTTGATTTGGAGAGCTGTGATAGTATTCCTCTCTGTGCAGTCACGGAAACCCTATTGCAACTGGTGTTTGTGCAAACAACGTGATGGAACTGAGATGTAAACTGGTTTGCACCTCCTTGTTCCCCTTTCTGGGAAGTATAACCAGGTCCACCTATTTGTAGGAGCTGCTGACATATTTAGGACTAAATTAAACTGAATTGGAAAGTTTCTACATGGCTGACCGATTCCCTTACGTGTTCTATCATGATACTAGTCTGAAGTTACTCTCCTTGAACCATCTTATCTTGGTAGAACTTAATGCATAACATGATGGTCTTAATTCCTAGAACTGTTCTTTAGTAACAGTTTGTTGCTGTCAGCCACCAGTTACGCATTTGGGGCTCTATTTCTTGGTGGAGACAGAAGATTTGTGTTGATCCATTCACATGTTTTAGATCAGGGACCTTTGCAATCTTTGCAATTTCAAGGCTGCAGAAAGTGTCCATAGGGTGAAACCAATGCAGCTGGCCCACACTAAGCTCTGATCCCATCCTAGGAATAATAAAATGAGCTGAACCCTTTGAAACTTAAACAAAGCCAATTAAGTGGTTTTGGCCCACAGTGGTGAGTTACGGCCCTTTTCTAGTGAGCCACATGAATATGCCTCAGTGCCTCCTCTCCACACTTTCTGGGGTCCTTGATTCAAAACTGTAAAAAAAATTCCATTTTGAAATAATTTTGGACTTCCAGGGAAGTTGCAAGAAGAGGAAGAGAGTTGCCATAGGCCTTCCTCCCAACTTCTAATGTTAACAACTTCACACAGCTGTGGTACAAGTATTGAAACCAGGAAGTGAACTTTGACACAATCCTACTGACTAAACTACATACTGTGTTTATATTTCATCTGTTTTCCCAATAATGTTTTTTTCAATACAGGATCCATAGTCACCGGTGTCTCTTTCTGGGCTTTCTCTTCTATTCCACTGGTCTATTTGTCTCTCTGTGCACAGTACCATGCTGTTTTAATTATGGAAACTTTATATTTTTAATGTCTGGGAGAGCTAGTCGCCTCTTTTACTTCTTCAGTGTTTTCCTGGCTATTCGTACATGTTTGTTTCTCTGTGTAAACTTTAGTATCAACCTGTCTAACTCCATTAAAAAGTGTGTTGATATTTTTATTGAGATTGTATTATATTAACTAAAGGAAAACGGACACCATTACAATTTTGAGTCATCCTATCCAAGAATAGGGGATGTATTGTTCAAGTCTACTTTTGTGCTTTTTCAGGGCTGTTTTAAAATTTTCCTTCTATATGTTTTGCA